GGAGAGCCTCCTGCCTTAAATAGGGGGTCCCTCTCACCCCTGCCGGGTATCTCACTGCGGGCCTCCAAATGTTATGGGTTGGCTCAACGAGATAGACCACTGACTCAGAATTGAAATTTAAGAGCTTTTTATTAAGCTGGCCAGCTGACCACAGCGCCTATCTCCCCCTCTGGGAGATTCGGAGCATGTGGCGGAGATCAAGGGTGCAGTATGATCTTTATATAGCAAAGCAGTGTTAAAAATCAATTACAAAGCATTCCATTAAAAGTTCATAAAGAGTTCACAAGAACAAAGGGGGTAAACAGAGTCACACCTGGCTGGAGCATATCATAATTCATTATTTCTCTAAGACAATCTAACAATTTTTCTTCTACTGTTACCCTGATACAATCCTGCTTCCACGGTTACCCTGACACAATCCTTGAACACAATCCTCCCTCCCTTCGAGCACATTCAATTTCTCATGTCTCTTTTCCTCCCCTCAGCACATTCTGTAACATTCTGTAACCCTTCCATGGCACAGTCCCTCGCCCTAGCACACTTCCTTTCAAATATGCATTTGAACGTGATTATGAAGAAACAGGACAACCCCCAAGTGGAAGGGCTGTCTAGGATAACTGGTCTCCAGTCTTCAAAAATGCCTACAAAGAACGACCTGGGAACTATTTCAGATTAAAGTAGGTTAAAGAGACATGATGTCCGAATGCAATACGTGGTTTGAATTTTCCGTTGCGGTAAAGGGCATTATAGGGGCGACGGATGGAAACTGAATAGTGTCTGCAGAGTAAATGAGGAAAATACTGTAAATATTGCACCAGGGTTAATTTCTTGATTTTGATCATCGCACTGGGGGTTAGGTGAGAGATCCCTTCGTTTTCAGGAAATACACACGGAGGCAGGACACTTCCTGAAACAACCAACCACCAGAAAAGCTGCTGCACAGAGTCCCCATCTCCCCGCAGCGGGGCCGCCCCCGTCCTCCAGTCCGCCTCCCCCGGCTGCGCTCCGGAGCCATCATGTCCGCTCAGGAGCCACCATGTCCGCGGGAGGCGCCTTCAGCCTCCACTCGGCTCAAGAAGGAGCCTTCTCGGCGGAGGAGAGAGAGACCCGGGGGCCTGAGGCGGCCCCGAGCCCCGAGCCGGGAGCGTGACATTTCCGTTCCTCTCCTTTCAGAGGCGCGCCGCCCCCGCCCCGGCCCCCGCGTCGCCACCGCGAACGGCCGCCTCGACCCGACCTTCCGTCCCCTGTTCCTTTCCCTGCGGCTCGATGGGGTCACCGTCTAACCGGAAAGGCCCGGAACGAGGAGTGAAGCAGTTTCCTGCTAAATTGATGACGAAACTCTGATCTTAGTCTCTAAGTTGAACGGACTCATTTCGGTTGACAGGAAGGCGAGACCAAGCCCGGGCCCTGACCCACCCTCGGTGGGGCCCTCACAAGTGCTGGGCGCCGGGTGCGGCGAGACCCCGTCCTCCCTCCCGGGTCGGGGACTCGTTTCCTCGCGGCCACAGGCGCGGATCAGAACCCGGAGACAGGGCGCCGGGGACGTCAGGCCGGGGGCGCGGTGTATGCAGATGAGAAGGCGCGCAGAGGCTGCCGGTCGCACTCCGCCGGCGCCCCCACGTCCCCGCATCCCGAGATGGACGCGCCCCCGGGGTTGCTGTCGCATCGGGCGCGGTTGCCGCTCGGGTCTCTGGGGCAGCGGGGGCGCCGCGGCGTGTTGAGTGTAGTGAGCGTGTGTGAAGGGTGGGTCGCGCGTGGGGGTTGGGGTGTGGGCGGGGGCAGCAACTCATACTTACCTGGCAGGGGAGATACCATGATCACGAAGGTGGTTTTCCCAGGGCGAGGCTTATCCATTGCACTCCGGATGTGCTGACCCCTGCGATTTCCCCAAATGTGGGAAACTCGACTGCATAATTTGTGGTAGTGGGGGACTGCGTTCGCGCTCTCCCCTGGTTTCTGCGGTTTCTAAGAATAGAAGCGGTGGGATGCTGTTTAGGCGTTGTTGATCCCGGTGTTTTTGTGTTTTTTCAGCGCTACTTTGTGGTGAGTTTCCAAACAAGGGGGAGCTGTGAAGTAGGCGAACGGGTTGTGAGGAGTCAGTTCCCTCCGAGTCTCCCGCTCTCATTGTTCCTCACCCGTACTCAGAGTCAAACTAGGTTTCCTTCCCCCGTCGCACCTGGTTTTCACGTTCCGTGTGAACAGAACAAGGATGGGCGCGGGTGGAGGCGGGCTTCCAGACACAGTTGGAATCTAGAATCGCACTCCTTGGTTTACGGCCCTGAGTAGCTCGCTCCCTGTTCCCCAGGGCACTTTTCTTTTTAAACCCTTGTCGCGCCTCCCATTTTACTGTTTTCTGCAGAGTGCCCCACTTAAAAAAGGTCGCTTTGAGCCCAATTCCTATAGTTTTACTACAAAACATCAAGGTTATTGAATAAGGGTTTCCAAACTAGGTATCACCAGTGTGAACCTCAGTGGTCTACTGGTCTACAGGCCTGATCCACTTACTTTGTTAATCGAGAGAGAGAGAGAGAGAGAGAGAGAGAGAGAGAGAGAGAGAGAGAGAGAGAGAGAGAACACCAGGGATGTGAGACCCATCAACTGCTTGCCTGGTGCGCGATTCCCGACGGGGCGGGGAAGGAACCTGCAGTCAAGGTAGCGCCCCGACCGTGATCATTGAACCGGGGCCCTTCCACGCTCCACGGCTGAGCCCTCGGCCGGGGCCTGACCTGCTTCCTTCTGCAGCCTCTCCCCCTGCTTCCCTCCGCTCGCGGGGAATCAGCCCCTCGCCGCACAGTCCCCCGGTTCCCTCCCAACTGCTGACTCCCCCAGACCCTTCCGGGTGCTGGTCCGCTCCTGTTCCTCCTTCTCAGAGCACAAAGCACCGGTTTTTAACCTTTTTTCACCTCGCGGCATACAAACTTACTAAAGTTCTGCGGCACACCATAAAATAGATTTTTTGCCAATCTGACAAAATAGAAATAGGTATCATTTTGATTCATTCACATCCATGGCTGTTACTTTGTTTGTTGGCTGTTGTCATTTATTTATTTATTTATTTATTTATTTATTTATTTATTTATTTATTTATTTATTTATTATTTATTTATTTTGACGATCTAAGGGAAAGAGGTCAGTGCCCCTGAATAAATAGGCAGGTATTAGATGTTTTAAAAATTCTCGCGACACAAGTGTTTGGAAATCGCTGGCATAAAGCATCACCAGAGGGAAACCATAGACCATCCGTATAGGTCTTTGATCTCTGCCAATAGGTGTCTTTTCTTTTTTTTTTAAACATTTTTTTATTGATTTCAAGAGGGGAAGGGAGAGAGAAACATCAACATTGATGGGCTGCCTCCTGCAGGCCCAATGGGGGATCTAGCCCGCAACCCGGGCTGTGCCCTGACCAGGAGTAGAACCGTGACCTCCTGCTTCATAGGTCGATGCCCAATCACTGAACCACGCCCGCGGGGCAGGAGGTGTCTTTCCTTCTGTTTCACTGTTGTGTCCCACAGTCAGAGATGGTCGACAGATGCTTTATCAATGGCACACAACTCATAGCAGCGAATCCAGGGCTGCTATTTTTATCAGGGACAAACAAGCATTGAGCTGTGGAATAACAAATGTTTGTTCTGGAGATGCAAAGTAGAATCTTTCCTTTGTATGTCCTCAGCGAGTAACATATTCTTTACCTCATTTGTAGGATTTGTCTGTGAGAAGACCCTTGCAAAGTGTGGTAGTCAAATCATTTCTATATGAAGTATCCTTCCCCCCCTCCCCCACACTGCTGATTCCAGCCGACCCCCACCCCCAACAAGTACTCTACAAATGTAAGAGGCCAAGGGAGGTACCATCCACTCTAACACCTCCCCCCAAAGGCCACCGTGGTACAAACAGATGAACTGTTGGGTATGTATAGCTTTTTGCCCTGTATCTGCCATTTCTTGGCATTTACAGAGCATCTTCACATTTCCCAAGCGCTGTACCAACATGTATTAACCCTCACAACACCCCAGTGAGGTGGGTCAATGTGTCTGGTGTAGTAGAGAAACCGAGGCAGAGAGAGAGGTCAAGTGAACCTGCCTGAGGCCACAGGGCACCCCGTGAAGGAACCCCCCGAGTCCTGAGCTAGGACTCTCCATCCCACGTTCACCTGCTTGGTGAGCACTGCATGGGCATATTGTCATCAGTGAAGGTGACCTGAAGGACAAAGCACACAGATCTCCCGGTCAACAGAACAACCAACAGCTCACATGGCACCGGTGAGCAAGAGTGAAGGAGAGAAATCTTCACCAGCACAGCAGCGAGGCTGTGGAGGAAGGCGGAATCCTCCGGGCTAGGCTTGGGGCGTAGGCCAGGCCTTCTTCAGAGCCCATCCTGGCGGTGACCAACCCAAATGCCTGTGGTTTCCAAATGGGAGAAAACTCAGAAAAAGACGGTGGAAAAGGCCAACCACTCAACCTAATTTTAAATAGGCATGGCATAATGTTCACCCACATTAGGAAGGCCAGTATGTTGGTCTTGTTACTACTGGCAATTAGTAGCCTTTATGGTACCCAAACTTTATTCCACCTGTTTCTATTTCTTTTCCACCAGCACGAGTTGTTCCCTACAGCAGCAGACCTCTCTCTCTCTCTCTCTCTCTCCCTCCCCTAATCTACTACTGGCATAACTACCAAGTACGGGCTCAATGGCATATGTCACATGGTTCATTGGCGAGCTAGGGACGGAATCCAGGAAACCTTAGCAGGCCATATTCTCAGCTCCTGGATTTTAGAAACAGCTGTCTCTAACCGGCCTCTGCCCAACTCCATCCTCTATGAAGTGCCAAAGCACAGCAGCAGTCCACGGTTTTGTGAAGGGATGGGTGAGCTTGGCTCACTCTGTCACTCCGAAGGAAAGAAGGAAAACTAAGACGTGCTCTGTAAGAATGAGGGAGGAGCAGATTCAGTAGAGCTACCCCAGATGTCAGAGTGATGCAATGACCACAGAGTTAGAAACCATCACTGTTATCACCGTTTATTTGACAATAGTTGGTTTAGTCTACAAGTTTAAGGCAAACATACTAACGCATTTGCTTTTCTTCAGAAATCATACTTAGAAAGATTACATAAAGTTTGTCCCAAAACTTCTAAGAAATATTCATTAATTAAAAATAAGTCTGATTAAGATGCTTTACCAGGATACATGAATGAACTAAGGTGGTATTCCATGTTTCCTTAAAAATAAAATTCAGAAAAAGGTAGTGGCAATCTTTATCTTGTTTGAAGAATATATTTTGAAAGGGTTAAACTTCAGAAATGACTGAAAGGTAAGTAAGATTGGCAGCCATAAGGAATACTATTCATAAAATAACAGAGCTATAGAGGCTACTGTAGGAAAGGACTGAACTTTGGGCTTTTGAAGAGGAGGAGCAACCCCCCCCCCCCCCCCGGGAGCTGCAGGTGCAGGAGGCGGGAGGGCAGTGCCCACCATAGGCCGGGCTGGCAGTGCCCGTGGGCCGCACCGCTCCCTGGTTTCTCAGAAAAGAGGTGAGTAGGTGCACGTTGTCAGCTGTTTCTTTTGTTTCCAGTGAGCAGTGAATGCCGAACATCATGAAGAAAACAAATGTAAAATCTGAAGGAAGGCAGCCCTTTTTGACCCCGACGGTGGGGTGTGGCTTATGTGTCTCCATTTAACACTGCCAGGCAGTTCTGCAGCAACTGGAGGTTACCCTAAACAGGAAGGGAGAGTCAAGTATGAAGTTCAAATAGTTTGGGAGAGACTCACTCAAAATATAAAGTATGAAAAATCACCCAAATTTTAATTTGTTACAACACAGGAAGTTTGGATACAGCTACTTACTATACACAAATAGACAAAGCATTATAGAATTTGTTTCACGTACAACATTTTCCACATACTACGTTCTTCAGTAAACTTCCAGCTAGACCAATGTTAATGCTTTGATCTGGAATGTTCGAATGAGGGAGGAAGTATGCCCTTTGTGTCCAGGTTAAATTACTGAACACTTTCTGGCTGTAAGATAGGTTCCTATCACTGTCCTATAGCCATTAACAAATACACTCACATAGATACATAGTGGTTTTGATAAAAATGGTAAGATTACAGGCAACAGTATTGTATGAAGTTCATACCTAAGTACCCATTTGTAAGGGGCCAAGGGATGTACCATCCACTCTAAGTATTGCAGTTTTGATAAAAATGGTAAGATTACATACAAAAGTATGCAATTCATACCTAAGTACCCATTGTAAAGCATGTACACTGCCATCTAAATTTGGAGAGTTGTAAAGGCAAATTTAAGTACAGGGAGAGGCAAAAGTAGGTTTCCAGTTGTGAGTATGTGAAGAACAGTTTATTCTGGTATTATTATTATTATTATTACTTATAATTCTTGTATTATTTTCCAGACAAACAAATGGAAGCCTACTTTTGCCCCAATATTTAGGTTACATAATATATAAAATGGGGGCGAAAGAAACCCCTTCCTTCAAGTAGAAAGTAAACCGAAATGTATAAAGAATGATGGAATTAGAGAATGATCACTTGGCAACCATCATATTAATATCAAAGTCATGCAAAAATCATGAGTAGATGATAAAAACTGTATGATGCTAAGATGCCAATGCTGTAGCCATTAGCTATGTGCAGCTACGTAAAATTTACATTTCTGCTGGTCAAAAGTAAACATGCACGGGGGGGGGGGGTAGGGGGGGTGGGAGTCAATTGGGGAAAAAGGAGACATATGTAAAACTTTAGACTAGTGGTTCTCAACCTTGGCTGCACAGGTGATTCTAATGTGCAGCCAAGGTTGAGAACCACTGCCTTAGACAATAAAAAAATTAAAAAAAAAAAAAAAGTGAACATGCACTGGCTGGTGTGGCTCATTTGCTTGGGCGCTGTCCCATGAACCGAAAGGTTGTGGGGTTTGAGTACTGGTCAGGACACATGCCCAGCTGGCAGGCTTGATCCCTGGTAGGGGTTGTACAGGAGACAGCTGATCAATGTTTCACTCTCACATTGATGCTCCTCTGTCTCCCTCCCTCTCTCCCTCTCTCTCCCCTCCTCCTTTCCTCTCTCTCTAAATATCAATATTTAAAAAGTAAAAAAAAAATTTTTTTTTTTTTAAATATATTTTATTGATTTTTTACAGAGAGGAAGGGAGAGAGATAGAGAGTTAGAAACATCGATGAGAGAGAAACATCGATCAGCTGCCTCCTGCACATCTCCTACTGGAGATATGCCCGCAACCCAGGTACATGCCCTTGACCGGAATCGAACCTGGGACCTTTCAGTCCGCAGGCCGACGCTCTATCCACTGAGCCAAACCGGTTTCGGCAAAAAAAAAAATTAAACATAAATAAAAACTCAGTTCCTCATTTGCACTACCCACATCTCAAGTGTTTGATAGCCACACGAGGCTAGTGGCTACCACACAGGGGAGTGGTGACTGAGCGATGGGGTATGCACGGGAGGCAACCAATCGATGTGTCTCTCTCGCATCAATGTTTCTCTCTGTCTTTCCCTCTCTCTTCTCCTCTCCCTAAAAATCAATGGAAATTATCCTCGGGTGAGGATTAACACCACCACCACCACAAAAATTAGCCTTTCTTGGTGCCATGTACTTTTATAATTAGATTAACAAATATTGATTCCTTTTTGTGCTGGATCAATCTTTTACATTAAAATTTAGATGAAGTTATAAAAGGGAAGTTCATACAAATTACAAATGTCCACCACTTTGTAGGAACAATTAGTTTAATAGTAAATTCTATGAGATCAAATCCATATTTTTAAAAGATATGAGTGCTCTAGGCTAAAACTAGCAAGCTAAACTCTAACAGCTGTAAATGTAGCCTGCAATTACATTTTAAAAATTAAATGCTCAAAATAAAAAAATCCGAGAGAACCAAGATGGCAGCATAGGTAAACACTGGAGAAAGCTGCCTCGCACAACCACTTCAAAAATACAACTAAAAGACTGAACGGACATCACCCAGAACCACAGGAAAGCTGGCTGAGGGGAAATTCTTCAACTAGAAGGAAAGAGAACAGCATACCGAGACTCAGAGGCGGCGCAGTGCGGAAAATACAAAGGTGCGGAGGTGCGCGCGGAGCGGGCTGGTGGCTGAGGGCGCGGTTGTCGTTTTCAATCGGGAGGGAGGCTCAGACCCTGAGCTCCAGTTCTGGGCGAGTCTCTAGGGACCCAGACTCATACAGGAGAAGTGGGACTGTCTGGCATCGGTCGGAACGCGAGGGCAGCTTTCTCTCCGAGGTTTGCAGCGGTTGCTGGGACTCTGAGAGGCAGAGCCTCTGGGGACAGGACTGAGAGCAGCCATAACTGCTCGCTCAGCCCGCCCTGTAGATCCCCTGGGACCCGCCCCGCCCAAGCCCTGCACAGAGCCATTTGCTGGATAGCCTCAGGCAAAGGCTAGATTAGCACCTCCCTAGAGGACAGAAGTTTTCCCACTGCAGACACAGCTGACTCTCACAGCCAGTTGGCCTGGAGGTCAAATCCCCCCAGTATTAACTACAACAATCAAGGCTTAACTACAACAAGACTGCGCACAAAGACCACTAGGGGGTGCACCAAGAAAGCATAAAAAAAATGCGGAGACAAAGAAACAGGACAAAATTGTCAATGGAAGATATAGAGTTCAGAACCACACTTTTTTTTTTTAATATATTTTATTGATTTTTTACAGAGAGGAAGGGAGAGAGAGATAGAGAGTTAGAAACATCGATGAGAGAGAAACATCGATCAGCTGCTTCCTGCACATCTCCCACTGGGGATATGCCCGCAACCCAGGTACATGCCCTTGACCGGAATCGAACCTGGGACCCTTCAGTCCACAGGCCGACGCTCTATCCACTGAGCCAAACCGGTTTTGGCAGAACCACACTTCTAAGGTCTCTCAAGAACTGTCTAGAAGCCGCCGATAAACTTAATGAGATCTATAAGAAATCTAATGAGACCCTTGATGTTATGATAAAGAACCAACTAGAAATTAAGTATACACCGACTGAAATAAAGAATACTATACAGACTCCCAACAGCAGACCAGAGGAATGCAAGAATCAAGTCAAAGATTTGAAATGCGAAGAAGCAAAAAACACCCAACTGGAAAGGCAAAATGAAAAAAGAATCCGAAAATACGAAGATAGTGTAAGGAGCCTCTGGGACAGCTTCAAGCGTACCAACATCCAAATTATAGGGGTGCCAGAAGATGAGAGAGAGCAAGATATTGAAAACCTCTTTGAAGAAATAATGACAGAAAACTTCCCCCACCTGGTGAAAGAAATAGACTTACAGGTCCAGGAAGCGCAGAGAACCCCAAACAAAAGGAATCCAAAGAGGACCACACCAAGACACATCATAATTAAAATGCCAAGAGCAAAAGACAAAGAGAGAATCTTAAAAACAGCAAGAGAAAGAAACTCAGTTACCTACAAGGGAATACCCATATGACTGTCAACTGATTTCTCCCTGCAGGCCAGAAGGGAGTGGCAAGAAATACTCAAAGTGATGAATGCCAAGAACCTACAACCAAGATTACTTTATCCAGCAAAGCTATCATTCAGAATTGAAGGTCTGATAAAGAGCTTCACAGATAAGGAAAAGCTAAAGGAGTTCACCACCACTAAACCAGTATTATATGAAATGCTGAAAGGTATCCTTTAAGAAGAGGAAGAACAAGAAAAAGGTAAAGATACAAATTATGAACAACAAATATGCATCTATCGACAAGTGAATCTAAGAATCAAGTGAATAAATAATCTGATGAACAGAATGAACTGTTGATTATAACAGAATCAGGGACATAGAAAGGGAATGGACTGACTATTCTTGCGGGGGGGAAGGGGTGTGGGAGATGGGGGAAGAGACTGGACAAAAATCGTGCACCTATGGATGAGGACAGTGGGTGGGGAGTGAGGGAGGAGGGTGGGGTGGGAACTGGAAGGAGGGGAGTTATGGGGGAAAAAAAGAGGAACAAATGTAATAATCTGAACAATAAAGATTTAATAAAAATAAACAACAACAAAAAAAATCCTAGAGACCTGTTGCACAATGTGAACATACTCAACATGACTGAATTGTACACTTAATAGTTCTTACAGATGGGCCCTGGCCAGTGTGGTTTGGTGTTTAGAGCATCGCTACCAGTCAGGGCACATACCCAGGTTGCAGGTTCAATCCCTGGTCAAAGTGTGTATGGGAGGCAACCAATACATATTTCTCTCTCTCACCACCACCCCCCCCCTCTAAAATACGTGAAAACAGCTCTGGCCAGTGTGGCTCAGTTGGTTGCGTATTGTCCTATGCACAGAAAGGTCACCAGTTCCATGCCTAGGTTGTGAGTTTGATCCCTGATAGGGGTGAATGCAGGAGGCAGCCAATCAATGATTCTCCTCACTGATGTTTCTCTCTCTCTCTCTCTCTCTCTCTCTCTCTCTCTCTGAAATCAATAAAAATATATTAAAAATTATTTTTCAAGTGATATTTGTATATATTTAGAAGATTATTTGTTTATTAATCCTTACCCAAGGATATTTTTCCATTTATTTTTTATTTTATATTTTTCCATTATTTTTTATTTTATATTTTTTCCCCCATTGATTTTTTAGAAAGAGTGGAAGAAAGGTAGGAAGGGAGAGAGGGAGAGGGGGAGGGAGGGGGGGAGAGGGGGAGAGAGAGAGAGGGAGGGAGAGAGAGAGAGAGAGAGAAGAGAGAGAGAAAGAGAGAGAGAAAGAGAGAGAGAGAGAGAGAGAGAGAGAGAGAGAGAGAGAGAGAGAGACAGACACATCGATTGGTTGCCTCCTGAACACACGCCAACCAGAGCTGGGGATGGAACCTGCGACCCAAGTACATGCCCTTGAGTGGGAATCAAACCCGACCCTTCGGTCTCAGGGCTAAAGCTCTAGCCCCTGAGAAAAACTGGCCAGGGCAGAAAGATTTATGATTTTTTAAAAATATATATTTTAATTTTTATTGATTTCAGAGAGGAAGGGAGAGGGAGAGATAGAAACATCAATGATGAGAGAGAATCATAGCTTGGCTGCTTCCTGCACGCCCCCCACTGGGGAACGAGCCAGCAACCTTGGCAGGTGCCCTTGACCAGAATGGAACCTGGGACCCTTCAGTCCGCAGGGCAACACTCTATCCACTGAGCCAAACCAACCAGGCGAAAGATTTATTTTTTAAACAACTAGTCAAAAAAAAAGAAAAAGACACTGGTTTCTATATTAGATACCAGAGTCTTGCAGAGCTGACCACCAGAGTCATTATAGATATTATTCTTGTTTGAATGACATCACTTAAGAAATCTCTCTCAATTCTAAGATTCTCTTTTAATATTTACTGTAAGGTTTGCGCTAAGTTTTATATTAACTACAAGAAAGAACTTAAGAGCTGTAAAAAACTCTGTAAGAGGATAATACTAAAACCAAATATTTTAAAGGAGTGAAATAAATGTGGAAAATTTAATTTCAATTCAGTAATATTTCTTACAGTATCCTTTGGAATCAGTTTTATAACTGACTCCTTTGTAAATTTTAAGTTCCTGAAATTGTTAGCCCTTTATGACATTACCTTTGCATGCTTTAGTTCCAACTCTGCCAATTCCACTAAGTTTTTTCTGAATGCTGCAACTCTTCTTGTCTTAAAATCTATAAGTTCTGTGAACAAAAGAAATTAGGATTATTTTATTTACATACTAGTATAAAACATACCTACCTTATTAAAGGATAATGTAACAGTACCTTGTTTTGCAGACTCTGATATTTTTTCAAATTTCTGACAACATAATTGTTGGGACGTTTCTGCCTGTAAAACATCTTTATTTTTGGCTCTTGCTTTATCCAGTGCTTTATTAGCATTTTCATAATCCACTAGTGACCTAGATCTTCGATAGAGGAGATCCTATAAAAGAGAATGCTTTACAATAATAGATGCTGCACATTTCTAGTAGCCACACTCAACCACCTCCACCACTTCCACCTAATCTTCCTCAGAGATAACACTTACACTGTGAATACCACATGCCAGCTACTCTTGTATTTTTTTAAATAACAGCTTTAGTGGGATATAATTCATATACCACATAGCTCACTCATTCAGAATGCACAGTACAATGGCTTTTAGGATGCTCACAGAGTTGTTGAACCATCATTACAATCAATGTTAGACTATTTGCTGTCACCCCCAAAAGAAACCCCATATCCATTAATAGTGACTCTCCATCCTCAACCTCCACTCCAAACATTAATGGTTTCTTTCTCTACAGATTTGTCTATTCTGGACATGTCATTAAAAAGTGTAGGGCTTTTTTTTTTAAAGTATGTTTTTATTGATTTCATAGAAAGGGAGAGAGAAACTTCAATGATCAGAAAGAATCATTGATTGGCTGCCTCTTGCATGCCCCCTACTGGTAATGGAGCTGAAAATCTGAGTGTGTGCCCTGACCATGAATTGAACAGTGATCTCCTGGTTCATAGGTTGACACTCAACCACTGAGCCACACCAGCTGGACTTTCATATGGCCTTTTAAACTTTGCATAAAGTTTCAAATTCATCTGTGTTACAGCATGAATCAGTACCTTCCTTTTTATTGCTAAACTAGAAGTCTGGTGCACGAAATTTGTGCATGGGTAGGGTCCCTAGGCCTGGCCAGTGATCAGGTTGGATTTGTGGGGTGACTGGTGGGGTGATTGGGGTCCCCACTCGTACCCGGTTTGGCCTGGTGCTGCCTGCTCGCTGGCTCCACCCTCTGCCATGGGCCACAGAGTGACTGATGGGGCGATCAGGGGGTCCCCCACTTGCACCTGCCTTGGCTGGCCTGGTGCTGCTCACTCGCCGGCCCCATCCCCCGCCGCCGCTGGTGGGGGCCTGTGGGCAGCTTCTGTGTTGAGCGTCTGCCCCTTGGTGGTCAGTGCACATCATGGCGACTGGTCGTTCTGCCATTGGGTTGATTTGCATATTAGGGTTTTATATAGATAGACTAGAGGCCCGGTGCACAAAAATTTGTGCACTCGGGGGGAAGGGAGGGTCCCTCAGCCCAGCCTGTGACCTCTCGCAGTCTGGGACCCCTCGGGAGATAACAACCTGCTGGCTTAGGCCTGCTCCCGGGTGGCAGAGGGCAGGCCTAATCCCTAGGTGCAGACCCTGGTCGGGCTCAGAGCAGGGCTGACTGGGGAGTTGGGGCGCTGCCCCGTCATGCACAGAGCAAGGCGGATTGGGAGGTTGCAATGCCACCCTCAGTCACGCTCAGGGTAGGGCTGATTGGGGGGTTGGGGCACTGCCGCCTGTCACACTCAAGGCAGGGTCGATGGGGAGGTTGCGGCGCCACCCCGTCACACACAGAGCAGGGCTGATCAGGGGGTTGGGGAGCTCCTCCCTGTCATGCACAGAGCAGGGCTGATCAGGGGGTTGGGAAGCTCCCCCGTCACGCACAGAGTAGGGCCGATAGGGGAGTTGGCACACCGCCCCCTGTCACACACAGAGCAGGGCGGATCAGGGGGTTGGGGCACTGCCCTCTATCACCCACAGAGCAGGGCCAATGGGGAGGTTATTGCTCTACCCCATCACACACAGAGCAGGGCCCGTGGTGGGGGGAGGGGGGTTGGGGCGCCGCCCTCTATCACCCACAGAGCAGGGCCAATCGGGGTTGGGGAGCTCCCCTGTATCAGGCACAGAGCAGGGCCGATCAGGGGGTTGGGGCGCCTTCCCGTCACGAACAGAGCAGGGCCAATAGGGAGGTTGTGACCCCGCCCCCTGTCACACACAGAGCCGCAGGGCGATCAGGGGGTTTGGGCGCTGCCCCCTGTCACACTGATCCCGGTGCCAGGAGGCATCTCAGCTCCGCTGATCCCAGTGCTGGGAGGCATATTACCCTTTTACTATATAGAATAGAGGCCTGGTGCATGGGTGGGGGCTGGCTGGTTTGCCCCGAAGGGTGTCCTGGATCAGGGTTGGGGTCCCCACTGGGTGCCTGGCCAGCTTGGATGAGGGGATGATGGCTGTTTGCAGCTGGTCACACACCCTTTAGGGTGGGGGTCCCCACTGGGGTGCCTGGCCAGTCTGGGTGAGGGGCTGAGGGCTGTTTTCAGGCTGGGACTGAAGCTCCCAACTGCTCCTTTTTTTCTTTTTCTTTTTTTTTATTCTGGGCCAGCTTTAGCTCTGAGGCTTGGCTCTAGCTCTGAGGCCTCAACTGCTGAAAACAGGTATCTGGTTTGTTTCGGTTCTATAATCGAAACTCTGTATCAACTCCAGCTCTGAGATCCCAGCCGGCTGAAAGCTGGTTTCTGGGGTTTTGTTAGCTTCTATATTTGTTACAGTGTTTCTTAAACTGCAAGCTCAGAGGCCGGCAAGGCAGGCGGGGAACGTTGGAATCCTCTGTCACTGAAGCAAGCAAACCTCATGTTCAGTTTAAGCTGCCTGGCTGCCGGCCGCCATCTTGGCTGGCAGTTAATTTGCATATTGCCCTGATTAGCCAATGGGAAGGGTAGCGGTTGTACGCCAATTACCATGTTTCTCTTTTATTAGATAGGATTATATATCTATACTAGAGGCCCAATACACAAAATTCGTGCACTTGGGGGGTGGGGGTGGGGTCCCTCAGCCCGGCCTGGTCCCTCTCACAGTCCGGAAGCCCTCGGGGGATTTCCAACTGATGGCTCCTTAGTGCTGCCACAGAGGCAGGAGAGGCTCCTGCCACTGCCGCTCTGCTCGCCAGCCGTGAGCACGGCTTCTGGCTGAGTGGTGCTCCCCCTGTGGGAGCACACTGACCACCAGGGGGCAGCTCCTCCACTGAGCGCCTGCCCCCTGCTGGTCAGTGAGCATCATAGTGACCGGTTGTTCTGCTGTTTGGTCGATTTGCATATTAGCCTTTTATTATATAGGATATTTAATTCCCATCTGAGGATATGTTTTCTTTATTGATTTTAGAGAAAGGAAAGGGAGAGTGAGAGAGGGAGGGAGGCAGAGAGAGACAGACAGACACTGAGGTGAGAAACATGGATCAACATGGATTGGTTGCCTTCTCCATGGACCTCAACTGCACAGGACAATGCTCTAACCAAGGGAGCCACACTGGCCAGGGCCATTTTGAGTGCATTTTTATATGTGATGTGAGGAAGGGGTCCAACTTTATTCTTTCTCATGTGACTATTCAGTTGTCCAATATCATTTGTTAAAGTCTTTCTTTTTTTAAAAAAAATACTTTTATTGATTTCAGAGAGGAAGGAAGAGGAAGAGATAGATAGAAACATCGATGATGAGAGAATCATTGATTGGTTGCCTCCTGAAAGTTGCACCGAGCTTGCAACTCAGGCATGTGCCCTTGACTGGAATCGAACCCAGGACCCTTCAGTCCACAGGCCTACGTTCTATTCACTGAGCCAAATCAGCTAGGGCAAAGTCTTTTATTTTCTCCACTACACTGTGTTAGCACCCTTGTCAACAATCAATTGACTGTCTCAGAAAACTAGGAATAGAAGGAACTTCCTCAACTTTATAAAAACATCTACTAAAAACCTACAAGTAATATCAGATTTAATGGTGGGAAATTATAAACTTTCCTACTAATATTAGGAACAACACAAGGATGTCCAATATCACCACTCCTTCTCAACATCGAACTGGGAGTCCTAGCTAATGCAATCAGAAAAGGAAATAAGAAGTATAGAGATTTGGAAGAAATAAATAGATGACATGACTGTTTATGTAGAAATCTGAAAAAAATAAAAACCACATAAAAAAACTTCTCCTGAACTAATAAATAAGAATAATAAGGTTGTAGGATACAACATTAATAAACAAAAGTCAACTGCTATCTTATATACCAGCAATGAACAAGTAAAATTTGAAATTAAAAATACAATACTATTAGCACTCCAGAAAATAAAATACTTAGGTATCGATCTAAGAAAATATATACAAAACCTGTAGGAGAAAAACTGAAAAACTGATAAAAGAAATCAAAGAACTAAGTAAATGCAGAGATATTCCATGTTGAAGGATAGGGAAACTCAATATTGTCAAAATCAATTCTTTCCCACTTGAGATTTAGATTCAAATCAGCTTTATTTGTAAAAGCTGAAAACTTTTTTTTTGTAATTATCAAGAAAATGGTCCTAAATTTTATGTGAAGAGGCAAAAGACACAGAATAACCAACACAATATTAAAGGATAAGAACAAACTCTGAGGACCGACATTACCTACTTGAAATTGAAGCCTTACTATTGTGAGAATAAACAAGTAACTTTTTCTGTCAAAGAACAGTTTAGGCCCTGACCGGTTTGGCTCAGTGGATGGAGCATCAGCCTGCAACTGAAGGGTCCCGGGTTTGATTCCAGCCAAGGACATGTACCTTGGTTGCAGGCACATCCCCAGTGGGAGGTGTGCAGGAGGCAGCTGATCGATGTTTCTCTCTCATCGATGTTTCCAACTCTCTATCCCTCTCTCTTCCTCTCTATAAAAAATCAATAAAATATATTAAAAAAAAAAAAAAAAAAAACAGTTTAAGCAGCTGCCATGCTGGCTGCATGGCTTGCAGCTCCCCTGGGGGCCGCCACCTTTAAATGGCAAAGGTCAATCCCTCCCTTCAAATTAGCCAATCGCGAAAGACTGTGCGCCTGAGCCCCAATCAAGAGTGAGGGACAGGTCACGTGTGTCAGAATTAAAAAGCCAAGTAGACAGCCTGCTCAGTGTGCATGTGCTTCTAGACCAGTGGTTCTTAACCTTCCTAATGCCGCGACCCTTTAATACAGTTCCTCATGTTGTGGTGACCCCCAATTTCATTGTTACAAATTGAACATAATTAAAGCATAGTGATTAATCACAAAAACAATATGTAATTATATACGTGTTTTCTGATAGTCTTAGGCGACCCCTGTGAAAGGGTTGTTTGACCCCCAAAGGGGTCGCGACCCACAGGTTGAGAACCGCTGTTCTAGACCATGTGCTGCGCATCCTTCTACGTAGAAGTGAAAATGTTTGCCTTGCTGCTTGGCTCCCAAGTATGTTTTGTGTTCTACCAGGACCCCTGAATTTGGGGGCTCGCCTTGTTTCTTACACTATAAAGCTACAATAATCTAAACAGTGTGGAAATGGTAGAAAAAAAGATAGACAAATAGATCCATAGAACAAAATAAAGCCCAGCACTAGACCTATAGTCAACTGATCTTTGATAAAGGAGCAAAGGCAATACAGTGGAGAAAAATCTTTTCAGCAAATGGTGCTGGGAAAACTGGACATTCACATGCAAAGAAATAAATTCATAGACAGAACTTACACCCTTTACAAAAATTATCTTAAAGTAGATCACAGACCTAAATGTAAAAGGTAAAACTACAAAACACCTAGAAGATAGTGTAGGAGAAAATCCAGATGATCTTGGGTTTGGTGATCACTCAAGGCATGATCTATGAAAGAAATAATTGATAAAGTGGAGTTCTTTAAAATTAAAATTTTCTGCTATGCAGCCCTGGCTGGGTGGCTCAGCTGCTTGGAGTTTCATCTCGTATACCAAAAAGGTGCAGGTTTGATCCCTGGTTGACAACTGATGGATGTTTCTCTCTTTCTCCCTTCCTCTCTCTCTAAAAATCAATAAAAACATTTCCTTGTAAGGATAAAAAAAGTTTCTGCTATGCAAAAGACACTGTCAAGAGGATGAGAAGACAAGCCACAGACTAAGACAAAATATTTACAAAAGACATATCTGATAAAGGATTGCTACCTAAATTATACAAAGAACTCTTATGATTCAACAGGAAATGATTTCAATTTAAAAATCGGCCAAAGGGCAATTTTAAATACAGGCACTTCACCAAAGAAGATACACAGATGACAAATATGCTTCACATCACTTGTCATCAGGGAAATGCAAACTGGAACAATGAGATACACACCTTTTAGAATGGCCAAAAATCCACACTGACAACACCCAATGCCGGTAAGGATGAGAAGCAACAGGAACTCTCGGAAATGCAAAATAAACAGCTACTTTGGAAAATGGTTTGGCAGAACTAAGCACACTCTTTTCATATGATCTAGCAATTGTGTTCCTTGGTATTTACTCAAAAGAGTTAAAAACTTATGTCCACCCAAAACCTGCACATGAATGTTTATAGCAGCTTTATTCATAATTGCCAAAACTTGGAAGCAACTAAGATGTCCTTCAGTAGGTCAGTGGAGAAATAACCTTGGTACATCCAGACAATGGAATACTACTCAGTGCTAAAAGGAAATGAATTATGAAGCTATGAAAAGACATAGAGGAAACTTACATGCGTATTACTAAATGGGAAAAGCCAGTCTGAAAGGCCCAACTACATGACATTCTGGAAAAGGCAGAACTATGGTGACAAGTATAAAGACCAACAGGGGTTAGGAGGAAGGAGGATGAACAGGTGGAGCGCGGAGGATTTTTAGGGCAGAGAAACTATTCCGGATGACACCCATAACGGTGAATGCATATCATCACACATTTGTTAAAACCAACAGAACGTACAACACAGACGGAACTCTAGTATAAACTACGTTCTCTATAGTTTGGCTTTTTTCACCATCTTTTTAAATTCATCCATGTTGCTGCTTGAATGAGATGTTCATTCCTTTTTATTGCTGAGTAACATTCCACTGTATGGCTGGCTATACCACAATTGGTTTATCTACTCACCTGTTGGTGGACATTTGGGTTGTTGTTGCCAGTTTTCAGCTATTACAAATAAAGCAGATGTGAACATCTGTGGGGACATATGCTTTAAAATATCTAAACTGAAATTACTGGACCATAGGGTAGTCTATGCTTACATTTTAAAGAAACTGTTACACTTTTTCAAAGTATTGCATCATATTTCTACTGTGTGTGAAAGTTCCAGTTGCTATAATTTTTCAAAATAGTTTATTGATATTTAGAGAGAGAGGAAGGGAGAAGAGAGAAACATCAATGTGAAAGCCCAACATTGATCAGCTGCCGCCGGCATGCCCCACACCAGGAATCGGGAATCAAATCAGCAGCCCTTCATTGTACGGGACGACCCCCAACTAACTGAGCCACACGGCCAGGGCCAGTTGCTATAATTTTTGTCAGAATTTTTCCATTTTAGTCATTCTAATTAAAGAGTATGGTGATATGCAATTGTAGTGTGTGTGTGTTTTTTATTCTTACAATTAAGTTTACATTTTTTTAAAAAAATTCATCACCCAAGGATATGTTTTCCACTGATTTTTAGAGAGGGTGGAGGAGAGAGGGAAAGACAGAGAGACATACTGATGTGAGAGAAACACATAGATGGGTTACCTCATGCACGTGCCCAAACCAGGGCCTGGGCCGGGGAAGAGCCTGCTATCGAGGTACATGCCCTTAACCTGAATTACACCTGGGACCCTTCGGTTCCCACTGAGCCAAACCGGCTACAGCAAGTTTCAATTCTTTCTTCTGATTACTAAAAAAATTTGGATTTACTTTTAAAGCGATGTTCCGTTCTAAAGGTTTTCTATTAACAACTATATATTATAATAAATTAAAAGTCTTCGCCCTGACCGGTTTGGCTCAGTGGATAGAGCATCGGCCTGCGGACTGAAAGGTCCCAGGTTCGATTCCTGCCAAGGGCATGTGCCTTGGTTGCAGGCACATCCCCCATGGGAGGTGCGCGGGAGGCAGCTGATCGATGTTTCTTACTCTCTATCCCTCTCCTCTCTGTGAAAAATCAATAAAATATATTAAAAAAAAAAAAAGTCTTCAAAAGTGACCAATTCATTTTATCCTAACCCATCCAATGTAAATCGTTTGTAAGACACAATCTGATTTAAAATAATTTTATATGGATGGTATATTTGCAAGTACCCAAGTCCTCAAATTTAAAATAATTCTTTATAATTTAATAAGAAATGAAAGAATGGTGTTCAAAGTACCACTGGTCAAATGAGAATTTTCTGTGCAATATATCAATTGATAAATTAACATTGATTTTGGAGTATTTGAGTCACTAAGTTTTCTATGCTTTTTTAAAAAAAGTCTTTATTGTTTAAAGTATTACATATGAATCCTTTCTCCCCCATTGACCTCTCCCCGCTTGTTCCCACCCCCCCCCCAGCACATGCCCTCACCCCTCCTACTGACTGTGTCCATGGGTTATGCTGATATGCATGCATACAAGTCCTGTTATGGATTGCTTTCCCCCTTACCCCCGTACCCCTGAGGTTGGTTTGTTCAATGCCTCTTTTCTGTGCTTTTAAGATGTTTTTGATAAACATGTTTTTGATTAGTAAGTTTTAGTCTTGTATCTAAGCAGATTTCCAAAAGGAAACTTGAGTTGCCTTAAAATAAAACCTATTCTTGTTCTATGGATCTCTCTTTCTCTCACTTTTTTTTTTTTTAATATATTTTATTGATTTTTCACAGAGAGGGAGGGAGAGAGATAGAGAGTTAGAAACATCGATTAGAGAGAAACATCGATCAGCTGCCTCCTGCACATCCCCCACTGGGGATGCGCCCGCAACCCAGGTACATGCCCTTGACCGGAATCGAACCTGGGACCCTTCAGTCCGCAGGCCGACGCTCTATCCACTGAGCCAAACCGGTTTCGGCAACTCCTTCTCACTATTAAAGTCACCTTTAATAGTGGACTTATATAGACCAAATTAGGAATCCTTTAGCTATACAATTGTTATTTTTTTAAAAATATATTTTTATTGATTGCAGAGAGGAAGGGAGAGAGAGAGATAGAAACATCAATGATGAGAGAGAATCACTGATCGACTGCTTCCTGCATGCTCCCTACTGGGGATCAAGCCTGCAACCCAGGCATGTGCCCTGACCAGGAATTGAACTGTGACCTCCTGGTTCATAGGTTGAAGCTCAACCACTGAGCCACGCCTGCTGGGTTATTTGGGGGTTTTACTTTTGTCTTTGCAGGCATTTTTCTGGAATAAGTATACCAAATTCATAAAAAAAGTTTTAGACTATATTATACCCGAAGTTTACCAAGGAAATTTTTATTTACCCCTGACTTACAATTTCTAAAAATCAGACTTAGAAATATACGTTAGCCAAGACCAGGTATCTCAGGTGGTTAGAGTGTTGCTCTGATAAGCCAAGGCTGTGGGTTCGAATCCCAGTTGGGCACATACAAGAATCAATCAACAAATGCATAAATAAGTGGAAAAATAAATCCATGTTTCTCTCTCCTTTCCTCTCTCTCTCAAATCAATAAATTAAAGAAAGAAAGGAAAATATAATTTAAAATCAAGAGATAAATCATCTTTGACAATCTTAAGTCTAACAACTTTAAAGAGATGGCTTTTTGTTAAATAGTTCATTTAAAAAAAACAATCAACAGCCCTAGCTGGTTTGGCTCAGTGGATAGAGTGTCGGCCTGCAGACTGAAGGGTTCTGGGTTTGATTCTGGTCAAGGGCACATGCCTGGGTGGCGGGCTCGATCCCCAGTAGAGCAAGTGCTGGAGACAGCCAATCAATGATTTTCTCTCATCACTGATGTTTCCCTCTCTCTCTCCCTTCCTCTTTGAAATCAATAAAAATATTTTTAAAAACCACAAAAAAACAAAAACACTCCAACCAACAATAAAGTTACCTTAGCAGCTTGAGATTCTCTTAAGTAATATTTTAAAAGGTCCGAAAGTTTGAGGTCCTCGTCAGCAGACACTCGTGCTTCTATTTTCTGAAAAAGGGGAAGAAAATTGGCATTTATTCATCACTTATATTCTACACTCAGTGTTTTCTTTCTTAATTACTGTAAATAATTAAAGGTATAAGTAACTATAGTTAAAATAAAAAAACCCCTGCACATCCACCAGAATAGCTAAAATAAAAAAAAAAGTGCCAAGTATTACAAACTTGTGCAGCAATCCAATGCTCATTCCTTCTGGTGGGAATGTAAACTGTTACAATCACTTAGAAACAGTTTGGCAGTATCTACAAAATCTTTTCACATGGATACCCTGGGACCCACCAATTCCCCTTCTAGTTATGTACACCCAACAGAAAAGTGCACTATGTTCAACTGAAGATATACAAGAATGGTCTTAGCAGTACCATTTGTAAAGAGCTCCAAACTAGAAACTATCCAAATGGTCTACGGACAGGAGAACAGATAAATTTAAGTATATCCTTGCAATAGCATACTATACAGGAGTAAGAGTGAAGGAAATACACCTACATGTAACGACATGGACGAATCTTATGTACATAATATTGACTAAATGACACTAGACATAAAAGAATGCATACTGCATTTATAGAAAATATGAAAATGAAACTAATCTATGCTGTCAGAAGCTAGGATAGTGGTTAGCCTTATAGGAGTTGGTAGCTAGGAAGGGCATCTGGGTTGCTGGTAGTGTTCATTACATAGGTGTGTTAAATTTGTAAAATTTCACTGAGATGGGGAGGGAACTAGGTGGGTTGGGAGGTAAGGGGCAGACATCTGTAATGCTCTCAACAATAAAGGTTAAACAAAAATTTCACTAAAAAGTACACTTCTGATATGTGCTGTTTTCTATATGTATAATATACTTCAATACAAAGTTCTGAAGTTTCTAAATAATATTACTTTATGGAGAAATAAATGTAGTAAACTTTGTAACTCAATAGATAAAAGCATAGACACAAAGAATATCCAAAAGTGATGGAGATATATCAATTTAGACAGATTGAGATTACATGCTATATGGATGCTGGATGCTTTTAAACAAGCTCTTCTTACATTAAGAAGTAAGGTATGTGCCCGTCCCCTGAATCTGAGCTCTGAGACTGTTTGACTGACACAGAAGTGATGCTGTGGTAGTTTCCAGGCTTAGGTCTTATTAAACTAGCAGCTTCCACTTCCCACCATTAGGGATGCCCTCTTTCCCCTCCCCTCCCCTCTTCTTTTCTTTTCCCTTCCTCCCTTCTTCCCTCCCTCCCTCCCTTCCCTCCATCCTTCCTTCCTTCTCTCTCTCTCTCTCTTTCTTCCCTTCTCTTCTTTCCTCTTCTCTCTCTCTCTCTCTCTCTCTCTCTCTCTCTCTCTCTGTCTCTCTCTCCTCTATTTCAGAGAGAAAGGGAGAGAAAGAGCTAGAAACATCAATGATGAGAATCATTGATTGGCTGCCTCCTGCATGCCCTCCATTGGGGAATCGAGCAAGCAAACTGGGCATGTGCCCTGACTGGGAATTGAACCATGATTTCCTGGTTCATAGGTTGATGCTCAACCACTCAGCTGCACCAGTTGGGCTGGGATTCTCACTTTTAGAACCTACCCATTATGTTGTGAGGAAGCCTCAACAATTCCTTGGAAAAGCCATGTGTAGGTGTTACAGCTAATAGCCCTAACAGAAGTCTCAGCTGACAGCCAGAATCAACCCCAGACATGAGTGAAAGAGCCTTCAGATGATTCCAGTCCCCAGCCTTCATATCTTCCCTACTGAGGTCACCATGGAGCAGAAGCACCCCATCAGGGATATGCCCTTTCTGAATTCCTGACCCAAAGAATTCATTAGCATAATAAAATGGTTCAGGATGCTTTGTCACACAGCAAGAATAACCAGAATACCATGCAAATACTAAAAGAAATAAGGATTGTGGTGGCTATGGAAATGCACCACTCAGATCTCCTTCAAGAGAAACTGCTTACTCCAAGGAGCATAGTTGACTGGTAGTCTCAACTGCAATTTCTCTGGATCCAGAACCAGGTTCGTACCAAGGCAATCTGCCATCCTACCCTTCTTGTCTCGGCTGTACCCAGACACTGACAAAGCACAGTGGGAAGTAGTGCCAGTCCATTTTTGCCTGACGCAAAATTCCTTAAATGGGCAACTCTGGCTCAAAGACTCCTCCCCTCTGACCTGGACGAAACATTCTTAGAACTCTGCTACAATTTGGAACTCTTCCTACCTAGTCCTCTTTCCTCTGCTCTCTTCTTTCACAGGTGTAGACCTGCATTGTGGTCTGTAGGCTCTTCCTGTTTATTCTTGCTCCTTCCTCTTTGATCCTCACAATAAATCTCCTGCACATCTAATCCCATCTTGACATCTGCTTCTGAAAGAACTGACACATAGCCAGGCCGGTGTGGTCCAGTTGGTTAAGTGTCATCCCATGCACCAGGAGGTCGCTGGTTCGATTCTAGGTCAGGACACATGCCTGGGTGGCGGGCTCCATCCCCAATAGGGGGCATGCAGGAGGCAGCTGGTCAATGTTTCTCTCTCATCGATGTTTCTCTCTCTCTCTCTGAAGTCAATAAAAACATATTAAAAAAGAATTGACATATAGCCCTTTCCGGTGTAGCACAGTGGTTAGAGCATCGGCCCACGCACCAAAGGGTCATTGGTTCGATTTCTGGTCAAAGGCACATACCTGGATTGTAGGTTTGAACCCTGCCTATGGTTGGGGTGTGCAAGGGAGGCAACTGTTGGATGTGTCCCTCTCGCATTGATGTTTCTGTATCTCTCTCTCTAGCCCCTCTCCTTCCCTCCCTTCCACTCCCGCCCCCCCTCCCTGCCCCCAAAAATGGAAAAATATCCTCAGGTGAGAATTAACAATAACAAAAAAGATCTGACATAAGGCTATTTTGATACAGATCCCTATTCTTATGATGTAAATGCACACACAAAAAAACCTATCTTCCGCCAAAACCGGTTTGGCTCAGTGGATAGAGCGTTGGCCTGCGGACTGAAGGGTCCTAGGTTTGATTCCGGTCAGGGGCATGTACCTGGGTTGCGGGCACATCCCCAGTGGGAGATGTGCAGGAGGCAGCTGATCGATGTTTCTCTCTCATCGATGTTTCTGGCTCTCTATCTCTCTCCCTTCCTCTCTGTGAAAAATCAATAAAATATATTTAAAAAAAAAATAAATAAAAAAAATAAAAAGTTCATGTTGAAATCCGATTTCTACAATGGACTAGACACTACCACTCTCAGCTAAATACTATTAATCATCTAATAAACATTTTCACTATTCTATCAAGTGATAAAAATGTGAAATATTATATCTAGGACCGATCCTTGAAAACCAAGATTATGTCATTATTAAATTACTACTACCATGAATGAATCCTTCTGCAGTTGTGTGTGTGTGTATATATTTTTAAACTGTACATCATTTAAAAAAAATATTTTTATTGATTTCAGAGAGGAAGGGAGGGGGAGAGAGAGATAGAAACATCAATGATGACAGAGAATCACTGATCAGTTGCCTCCTGCATGCCCCCCAGTGGGGATCGAGGCCTCAACCTGGGCATGTGCCGTTGACTGGAATTGAACCTAGGACCCTTTAGTCCGCAGGCCGACGCTGTATCCATTGAGCCAAACCAGCTAGGGTTGCATTTGTATATTTGATACAACTCACTTTAACCAATGTGTCAAGGGGGATCAAAAGCATTATAGTCTTGGTCAAGGTACAATGAATCTAACTTTCTTCTAGCTTACAAAGTCCCAGGGAAGGGTCATTCTTCATGAAAATAAACCCAGTCTTCTGATAAACATGTTTTCTGATGGAATACAGACATATACATAAATACCAAAAGGCTGTAACAAAAACCAACTTTCCTGAAAAACTCCAATTTTCACATCTAAATCTGTTGCACAACTCTCCTTCCTCAATAAAGCTAAATAAGTTAAGCACAGCTGTATGCAGAGGTGTGGATTATCAAAGGTTAATTAACAGTACTTACTCTCGTTTTATCAAACAGTTCTGAAACTTTGAGAAAAAATCTGGAAGAGAAAAGTATTTAATCAGAAGCTACCTTTAAATAACTTTCTATTTCAAATGTTCAGAGAATACATAATGCCCCAAACCAAATGAATAATGAACATTCTTGCCTCATTACAGTAATATTTAATGGTCTTATTTTCTTCATTTAACAAAAATATCTTTGTACTTCCACCCATAACAAATTACTTGAAATCTGTTGTTACAGAAAATCTTCCCATTTTAAGATAACAGTCTAAGTCATACAATAAAACCTAAAAACTTTGTATTGCTATTCTTTAGTAATATGCTCCATAATACTAAATGAAACCCATACCTTCACATTATTACAGAAGTACAAAACAATCACATCCAAAGAGACAAAAGGCTGATTTAAATGGAAAACAATGAAGGTGGAGTAGTTTTTGAAGATATCTGATAGCTATGTTTTAAACATTTTCAAATAGAGCTGCTTTGTTTTGGAAAACAACAGAAATCAGTAACCAACTTCTATTTTAGAATTCACTTTCACTTTTAACTAAACAGCCTCTCACGAGTGTTAACCACCAACTGAAAAAAACCCAATGCAGCCCTAACCGGTTTCGCTCAGTGGAGCGTCGGCCTGCGGACTCAGGGGTCCCAGGTTCGATTCTGGTCAAGGGCATGTACCTTGGTTGCGGGCACATACCCAGTAGGGAGTGTGCAGGAGGCAGCTGATAGATGTTTCTCTCTCATTGATGTTTCTAACTCTCTATTCCCTCTCCCTTCCTCTCTGTAAAAAATCAATTAAAAAAAAACAGCAACCCAATGCAAAACTACTAAAGGCTATTCTGTAAAATATGTAACTATAGATGGCACTATAATCGGATTAGGGCAAATACTATTGAAAGCTAAAACACAATTTCATGAACGTCACTTTACTTCAAAGAACTTGCTTTGACAAGTTTCTGTCAGATAACACTTGGCAAGGTTGCCCTTTTTTTCTTGTTATCAAAGAATTAAGAACTAACTCTTTGGGAAGGCAGCATGTTAATTAGTGTAAGCTATGGTACCTTGCTTTGCTGAAAAACTTGGATCTTACATGTCTACTGAGAGACTACGTTAGAGGAAAAGTTCAAGGATGTGGTTTAGAGAAAGGCATGAACAATGAACATAGTTTTCTCACTTAACATTTAAAAAGAAGCATTATTTTTCACTGAAGAGTTGGGTTAAAACAATATTATAGAAGCAACTAAAATTAAGTCCCGTTAGATTAAAATTAAAGTGAAAAACTAGCATACCGTAAAGGCATGTGTAGGCAAACTTCCAGAGGGTGATTTTACACTAACATGCAAACACCTTCCTCATCTGACTGCCTTAACATTCACTAAATTATAAAAACTACAATAGCCAGCCTCTTTAAAAAGTGCAAACTGATAGCATTAAATATCACTTTAAAAGTCAATTTGGTGCCCTACCTGGTTTGGCTCAGTGGATAGAGCGTTGGCCTGTGGACTGAAGGGTCCAGGTTAGATTCTGGCCAAGGGCACATGCCCGGGTTGTGGGCTCCATCCTCCCCAGTAGGGGGGCGTGCAGGAGGCAGCCAATCAATGATTCTCTCTCAATGATGTTTCTATCTCTCTCTCCCTCTCTCTCTGAAATCAATAAAAATATATTTAAAAAAAAAAGTCAATTTGGGCCCAGACAGAGTGGCTCAGTTGGCTAAGCATCCACTGTCTTGTGCACTGAAAGGTTGATGGTTAGTCAGGACACATATGAAAGGCAGGTTCCAATCAATGTTTCTATCTTCTCACTTTTATGTGTTTCTCTCTCTCTCTCTCTCCCTCCTTCCCTTCCTCTTTTTAAGCATGTCCGCAGGTGAGGATTAAAAAACAAACAAAAACATGAACAAAGTCAATTTGGCCCTGGCAGGTGTGGCTCGGTTGGAAAGTCATCCTGTATACTGAAAGGTGGCGGATTAGATTCTTGGTCAGGGTACACACGGGAGGCAACCGATCAATGTTTCTCACATCAATGTTTCTTTTTCTCTCTCCCTTCCTCTCTCTAAAATAAAAAAAAAAAGTCAATATGGCCTACTATGAAATACATGTAATTCCAAACAGCATTTTAAATTTATAATAAACATTATCAAAACCTAAGAATATTTTGACATAAAGTCTGTCTCTCCATCTCACCCTTATACACACACACACTGCCCATTTTCATCAAGTGAAACTTTATAAAGTTAAAAAATACATAAAGGTCCATTTTTATTTTCCAGATTTTAAAAATTGACACGGACTTAGAAAAGCTCCTTGTTATCAATGTGTTTTGAGAAAAATATTCTAAAATGTCTACTGGGTCTGAAGTACTGTGTGTGCCCAGCCTGCCAACAAAATTTTGTTTTATTTATATTTACTGTTTTTTATTTTTATTTTATTTTTTTAATATATTTTATTGATTTTTTTACAGAAGGATAGAGAGTTAGAAACATCGATGAGAGAGAAACATCGATCAGCTGCCTCCTGCACACCCCCTACTGGGGATGTGCCCGCAACCAAGGTACATGCCCTTGACCAGAATGGAACCTGGGACCCTTCAGTCCACAGGCCGATGCTCTATCCAATGAGCCAAACTGGTTAGGGCTATATTTACTGTTTTTTAAAAATCAGAATCCTTACTTGCATATATCTGTAGAATCCTGAGTTCCTAAAGCATATAATGAAGAACCAATTCTATTGTAATCGTCTGCAGCACCTATGGAAAAAGGTTCAAGAATTTAATATATTTATTCATTAATTAAAAAATATTGAGCATCTACCTGCCAAACAATGTGTACGTAATAGGAGGTAGCCAAAGTCCACTGAAGGAAATGAGAAAAACTATAATACAATATGATGAATATTACATTAGAAGGAGGTACAAACTACTATGGCAGCAACAGAAACAGATGATTTCACCTGAGTAAGTCAGAGAAGGATTTACAGACACTCCAGAATGAATTTGCACTTGTAGGATGAGCAAATCTTTACTAGGTAATATGTAAGAAAGGGAATCCTATATAATAAAGAGGCAATATGCAAATTAACCCTCACACCCTCACAAAGATGGCTGCCTACAACCAGGCTGGCAGGGGGGGTTAGTGAGGGACGACCAAACGACTGACCAGCAGGCTGCATGGGGCGACCAGGCCGGCAGGGGGTTAGTGAGGGATGACTAAACAAGTGAACAACAGGCGGTGTGTGATGATCAGGCCAGTGGGGAGGCAGTTGGGGGCAACCAGGCTGGCAGGAGAGGCAGTTAGGGGTGACCAGGGTGGTGGTGGTGGGGTGCAGTTGGGGGTGACCAAGTCAGTGGGGGGGGGGGCAGTTGGGGTGATTAGGCCAGTGGGAGGGGGCAGTGAAGGGTGACTAGGCCGGCGGGGGAGGGGGGGCAGTTTGGGGTGACCAGACCGGCAAGGGGGGGGCAGTTAGGGGCGATCAGGCAGGCAGGTGAGCAATTAGGAGCCAGTGGTCCAGGATTGTGAGAGGGATGTCCAACTGCTGGTTTAGGCCTGATCCCTGGCAGTTGGACTTCCCCAAGGGGTTCTGGATTGGAGAGGGCGCAGGCTGGGCTGAGGGGAACCCTCCCCCCTGCACGAATTTCATGCACCGGGCCTCTAGTTTCAAATAAAAAGGGCAGAGCATGGATCAAGGCCTGAGAGGCATAAAAGAACATAGTATATTCAGAGAGCCTTCTGGGACTATGGCACTGAAGGGTGCAGAGGGAAAGTAGATGGAGTTGAAGATGAAAAAATAAATTGGAAGCATCTTGGGGAAAAGGGTTTTTGTAAGCCATGATAAAGTCTGTATTTGGTCTTGTAGAAATGGGTGTTATTAACATTTTACAATCAACCTGATAAGTATGTTAGTTTTTAAAAAAATACTGTTGCCCTAGCCAGGTTGGTTCAGTGGATAAAGCATCAGCCTGTGGACTGAAGGGTCCTGGTTTTGATTGAGGTCAAGGGCACGTACACCAGTTGCAGGCTCGATCCCTGGCCCCAGTTGGAGCAGTTTTGGGAGGCAACCAATGGATGTTTCTCTCTCTCCCCTCTCCCTTCCACTCTCTTTCTAAAAAAAAAAAAAAAAAAAAAAAAAAAGACAAATATTCTTGGGTGAGGATTAACAAAAGAAAAAAAAAATACTGCTTCCTGGAATAAAGACTAGAAGTGCAGAGACACAGAAAACAGAGTAACCAACCTAGAAACTGAGGGCCAGGATCAAGATAGTGGGAACAGTGAGAGCACAGAGGAACTAACAAAGCTAAATAATATTTAGGAAATGTAATAGGGAGGATTTATAAACAGTATACCTGATATAGGAGGGGAAATTATGGAGCTTGGGAAGCTAGATAAATGGTGCCACCATTACTCTGGGGTACTAGAAGCAAAGTACCAAATTTCAGTACAACACTCTTCCTAGGGCTTGTTCCACAGGACAATGCACTTGTTGAGAAAAGACTATATATAACAGATGCTTCTATTTGGTTCAGAGAAAGGATAGTAGAATGCTATGGTTAAGAGGCTGGACCTACAACCAAACTGCCTAGGACCCAATCCCATCTTCCAAACTCACCAGCTACATGACCTGGGACATATATATCACTTAACCAGTCTATGCCTCAGTTTTCTCATCTGGAAATGGGGATAATAATGGTACCCACCTCATATTATTATTTGGAGAATTAAATATGTTAGTAAATGTTACTATATATCTGGCATATAGTAAGTATAGTACTAATTAATGAAATCCAAGACACTGCCTAATGTATGAAAATTTCCACTTATACTAGCAGTATTTTTATAAGGCTTTAATGTGTTTATTCCCTAATGAAACAGTAATCCTTACATTATACTTTATTATATCATTTAAAATTACATTAGCCCTAGCTGGTTTGACTTAGTGGATAAGAGTGTCGGCCTGCGGATTGAAGGGTCCCAGGTTTGATTCCTGTCAAGGGCACGTACCTTGGTTGCAGGCTCGATACCCAGCCCTGGTCGGGGTACATAAGGGAGGCAACCAATCAATGTATCTCTCTCACATTGATGTTTCTCTCTCTGTCTCTCGCTCTCTCTTCCACTATCTCTAAAAATCAATGGAGAAATATACTTGAGAATTAATAAAAATTTAAAAAACAAACAAACCCCAAAAACATTAAACCCATAAGGCTAAAATTTAACTTTTATTTTTATTTTATTTTTTTATTTTTTTAAATATATTTTATTGATTTTTTACAGAGAGGAAGGGAGAGAGATAGAGAGCCAGAAACATCGATGAGAGAGAAACATCGACCAGCTGCCTCCTGCACATCCCCCACCGGGGATGTGCCCGCAACCCAGGTACATGCCCTTGACCGGAATCGAACCTGGGACCTTTCAGTCCGCAGGCCGACGCTCTATCCACTGAGCCAAACCGGTTTCGGCTAAAATTTAACTTTTAAAAGGGAAACTTTGACCTGACTGGTGTGGCTCGGTGGTTGAGCATTGACCTATGAGCCAGGAGTCTGGTTTGATTCCTGGTCAAGGCACATGCCTGGGTTGTGGGCTCGGTCCCAGTAGGGCGTGTGCAGGAGGCAGCCAATCAATGATTCTCTCTCATCATTGATGTTTCTATCTCTCTCTCTCTCTGAAATCAATAAAAATATATTTTTTTAAAAAAATCCATTCAGAAAACTAGTAATTTAAGAGAATTTTCTCAACCTAAAAAAAGTCATCTAGGAAACCTACACCTAACTTCACAAATAATGGTTTAAGACCAAATACTTTCCCAAGAAGATAAGGATCAAGGTAAAGATGCCTGCCCTCAACACGTCCATCAGCACTGTAGTAGAAGGTAGTGTACAGTACAATGGTGTAAGGAAAAGAAGGAAATGGCATCTAAACTGGAAAGAAAGTATAATTATTTTTATTAGCAGATGACCATTTATGTAGAAAATACTAAGGAATCTACAAAATAGTTACTAGAACTAGTGAGTTTATTTATTTAGTAAGGTTGCAAGATATAAGATCAATATTGAAAATATACTGTATTTCTACACATTAGCAAAGAACAACCAAAAACTGAAAGGTAAAAAACACATCATTTACAAAGCATCCAGAAATAACCAGGGATCGATCTAACTAAAGATGTAAAAGATCTGTACAATGGAAACTATAAAACATTGCTGGAAGAATTTAGAGACCTAACTAAATGGAAAGTATGCCATATTCATGTATAGAAGATCAATTTAAAATGTCAATCCTCCCCAAATTGATCTACAGATTCTATACAATTCCAATTATAATCTTAGCTGGCATTTTTGTAGAAAGTGACAAGCTGATTTTAAAATCTGTATGAAAATATAAACTACCTAGAGGGGCCAAAACAACTTTAAAAAAATATTTTTATTGATTTCAGAGAGGAAGGGAGAGGGAGAGATAGATAGAAACATCAATAATGAGAGAGAATCATTGATCGGCAGCCTCCTGCACTCCCCCTACTGGGAACTGAGCCTGCAACTGGGAATCGAAACTAGGACCCTTTAGTCTGCAGGCCGACTCTCCACCTACCGAGTCAAACCAGCCAGGGCCAAAACAACTTTTATAAAGAAGAATAAAATTGGAGGACTTACACAAGAAAAGATGTTTAACATCACTGGTTATTAGAAATATGCAAATTAAAACCACATCAAGACACCACTATTCTTATTAGAATGGCTAAAATTAAAAAGACTGATTATCCTTCTTTAAAAAAATATATTTTTATTGATTTCAGAGAGGAAGAGGGAGAGAGAGAGAGAGAAACATCAATGATGAGAGAGAATTATTCATCGGCTGCCTCCTGCATGCCCCTTACTGGGGTCCAAACCTGCAACCTGGGCATGTGCCCTTGACCAGAATCGAACCTGGGACCTATTCAGTCTGCAGGCTGACGCCACTTGAGCCAAACCAGCTAGGGCCTGATTATCCTTCTTAACAAGGATGAAGAATAACTCTCACGCACAGCTGATAGGAATGTAAAATTGTATAATCATTTTGGGAAAAAGTTTGGCATTTTTAAAATAAGTTATACTTTACCACATGACCCAGCCATTCTATTTCTAGGTAGTACCCAAGAGAAATGAAAGCATAGGTTTATAATACTTACATAAAATGGCTCATGTAAGCTTTATTCACAATAGCCAACAGCTAGTAACTCAAATGTTCACCAACAGCTATATAGATAACAATCATAATATATCCATAAAATGGAATACCACTCAGCAATAAAAAGTAATGAACTATTGATATGCACAACATGGATGAATTTCAAAATAATTTTGTTGAATTTCAAAGCTAGATAATAAAGTGTCCATACTGTATTATTCCACTTGAAATGCAAACTGATCTATAGAGACAAAAAGCAAAACAGTGGTTGCCTGGATACATGAGTGGGACAGAGGGATTGCAAAGGGTCACAAAGAAACTTTTGGTGGTGATGGATATATTCATTTAATTTTATGGTAGTGATTATTTTAAACATATGTCATAACTTATCAAATTGCATACTTAGAACATTGCATCTTATTGATATCAATTACACATCAATAAAGCTGTTAAAAACCATTAACCTATCTTGCATTTTGAATGGATCGTTTACACACATAATTTTATAACATCATGCATTTAGAAAGTATTGGTTCAACAAATGATGCAAATCTTGACATACTTGAAAGTTGACATATTTCAGTATACAGTATCAAAAATATCATTAATATCAGACAAGTCTTTATTTTTTTAAAATCTTACCAATTATTTTTTATTGGCATTTAAAAAATAATTGATATAGAGAAATAGATGTAAAATAGAACACACCATGGAAGCAAGTGGAAGAACACAGCATTTTTAAACAGTTTATATAAAAATCAAGAATGGAATTTCAGACAAGTCTTTAATTATTGTGATGCAAACTCATGGTAATGAAAACAAGTTTTCCGAACTTCTAATTATTGCTGAATAACTTGACTTTTATCATTGTCCACAAATACTGCCAGTTTTCCTTAAAGTGACAGACTCACTTAGTGAATTTTTAAGAACATGTCTAACAAACACTAAAGTCTGAATAATCATAGTTTGTCAGCCATTCTTTCAAGTAAAAATGGTGTCTTATGAAAAAAGTAGCTAGGTCAGTTGGAACTCAATCACTAAAATGCTTTACTAGAGAGAACCATCATACTTCAGTATACAAAGTGCTTTATACATACCTCCCATTTTACCACATAAAGGATGAAAAAAAAAAAAGTGTACTCAAGGACATTCTTAAATGAACTTTGAGGGAAAGAATATAGTGATTATTAGTACAGTTTGATGCCACTGCCTTGATTTGTGCTAAGGTACCAGCAATTTTATTCATCACTAGAGGCCTGGTGCACGAAAATTCATGCACGGGGAGGGGGGAAGGTGGTTCCTTCAGCCCAGCCTGTGCCCTCTTGCAGTCCGGGAGCCCTCAGGGGATGTCTGACGGCTTAGGCCTGCAGTCTGGCCTCCCTCTTCGGGAGGCGACCAGGCGGGCTGATCAGGGGACAGCACCAGCCGGCCCTCCCCCCGCCCCCATTGCCCCTCCTCCGCTGCCGGTCGCCACCGCCCCCCCAATCGCCATCCCATCCCTCTGCTCGCTGGCATGTGCCTTGGCTGGCCTGGCGCCGCCTGCTTGCCGGCCCCGCCTCCCGCCAACCGGTTGTTCCTCCGTTTGGTTGATTTGCATATTACGCTTTAATTATACAGGATGGCTTTTGCATCATGAATATAAATGTTGCCCTAGCTGGTTTGGCTCAGTTGATAGAGAGTCAGTCTGTGGACCAAAGGGTCCCAGGTTCGATTCTGGTCAAGGGCATCAAAAAAATAAAATAAAATAAAATAAACATCAACATGATAAAAAGGCAAAAGGCATCATAGTATTATTATGAAAATGGTTTTGACATCACAGACTTGCTAAAAAGGGCCTCAGAACCAAGGCTTCATAGACCACAGTTTAAGAAACGCTGCTCTATATCAAGACTTTTACAAACTATAAATAACATAAGTAAAACCTTACTTTTGTGGGATCTTGTCATCCTATCAGATTTAGCAGATGCATCTTTAACTCGGTTATGATATTCTAAAAGGAATGTTCGTTCATGCTCAAAGAAATCATCTACATCCTATAGGATCAAAAGAAAATATGAACTTTTTTCAATTGTTTGCTTTAGTGTAATATGTAAACCATTTTGTTATCATTATAATCACAAAAGATCATTAGTAAAACAGCATCCTATCCTTAATAATCAGATGTTATATTGATTTCACCAACAAGTTCAGACTTTAATAAACATGAATTTCTATCTATCAAGTAAGAGATCTTCTATGGTTTTGCAGCTGAAGGCTTAGAGCTCCCCATATGGTTCTCTGAAACGTGTCCCTACTCATGCTCTGCCTTTACATCCCAATAAGTACATTATTGTCAGTGGAAGTGACCAATTGTTTTTGAGAAATAAAGAAAAAATTCTGATGGACAAGTAAGTCTATTTCTCTTGGTTTATTATGTATATTATGGGCCATTTCAGAAGGCTGGGAGCAATTACTATATCAACAACTGTCTTCGATTTTTTTTGGGGGAGCAATGTTAGATACACATCAAAATAAAAATTATTAACAGTACTTTCCTCCCTTCTAAGATGTCCATTGTTTAGTGAAAAAGCACCAGTTGAAATGATGTAATTCAAGATCCACATCAACAGAAAACTAGAAGCCAAATACTGACAAAACGACATTTAAATCTGTAATTCAGGTGTACCAGTTCTCCTAACTGTAAAAATGGGGATAACATTAACTTGCAGGATTGTAGTGAAGATTAAATAAGAAAATGTGGGCTATCAAACATCACATTGTAAATGTTAAAATTTTAGTTACTACTTTATCAAAACCCTAATCAAATAGTGGTTTACACTAAATGCTAAGAAAAATGTTCAATATTAGTGCATAAGCAGCATCAAAATGGAAGTAGGCTGAGTCCTTATTAGAAAGTAGCCATAGTACATGCATAGTCAACATATAAATTGACCTATCTCTGAAAAGTCAAAGTATAAATCAAATAAATAGTACTTTACACCTAAGTTTTATTGTAGATGTACCTATAAAACAGGTAACGATGAGAAAGCAGCATTATTTATACCTTAGTAATTGCTTGATAATGTAATATAAGCATTTTACTCTTATATTTTAATGGTATGAGTCTTCAGACAAATTAAGTCTTATATCATTTAGGACACCATTAAGAAAAAGTTAGGTGTTATGTAGGCAAATAATTAACTTTGTAAGTATTTTCACACATATTATCTCATTCAGTCTTTCTAACAATCCTGTGAGCCAGGCGGTTTTATTAACTGCATTTTGAAAGTGGAAAACAGATTCAGAGAAAGAGACTTTTCTCAAGATCATATAGCTACTCTGAGACAAGACCAAAACATCAACTTAGCGCTTCTAATTCCCAATGTGAATCCAGGCCTGTTCCCAACATTTGTAAGGCCAAGGGCAAGTGTAGAAATGGAAGGAGTCTTTTTTTATTTTTAAAGATAAACCTTTTCTTTAATTAATTAATTAAAGAGGAAGGGAGAGGGATAGAGAGATAGAAACATCGATGAAAGAGGAACATCATCAATCGGCTGCCTACTGCACACATCCCTACTGAGGATTGAGCCCCCAACCCAGGCATGTGCCCTTACCAGGAATCGAACCAGTGACCTCTTGGTTCCTGAGCTGATGCTCAACTGCTGAGCCACATTTATGTCCCACCCTGCAGCTCTGCAGGGCATCCAAAGGGATTTCTTGTGCATGTGGCTGGACAGTCCATCCTGTATACTGATTTTCTCCCCTGTGCCTTCCCTCTACTCAGCTGTCCTATAGTCACCCCTTGATCACCCACAGAGTGTACACACCAGTAGCACTGTCTACCCACTGGAGGATGGACTCAGGGAAAAAGCCCATGCAAGACCTGGAGGTAGGCTTGGAATTTGGCTAAAGATATCTAGGGTTGCCGAAGCCGGTTTGGCTCAGTGGATAGGGCGTTGGCCTGCGGACTGAAAGGTCCCAGGTTCGATTCCGGTCAGGGGCATGTACCTGGGTTGCGGGCACATCCCCAGTGGGAGATGTGCAGGAGGCGGCTGATTGATGTTTCTCTCTCATCTATGTTTCTAACTATCTCTCTCCCTTCCTCTCTGTAAAGAATCAATAAAATATATTAAAAAAAAAAAAAGATATCTAGATAACTGGAGCACGGTCTGGTTTGGAGGAAAGGGCGTGGGGTTCAGGTGGGCAAATTCCCTTGGATATGTAAATCTCTGACCCTTGGAGAAGGAAGCTCTAAAGCAGTGGTTCTCAACCTTCCTAATGCCGTGACCCTTTAATACAGTTCCTCATGTTGTGGTGACCCCCAATTTCATTGTTACAAATTGAACATAAATTAAAGCATAGTGATTAGTCACAAAAACAATATGTAATTATATATGTGTTTTCTGATGGTCTTAGGCGACCCCTGTGAAAGGGACATTCGACCCCCAAAGGGGTCGCAACCCACAGGTTGAGAACCGCTGCAAGAGTGTACCCAAGGTAGGGGGTCCAATTTCCTAGGCCTAAGGATTCTAACTGCCCAAATTTCTCTTTTACTCGAATATAATCTTTTACACATCTAAATTTTCAGTCTAGCTTCCTTTTAAGAAGAGTAAATTCTTGCCCTAGCTGAATAGAGCATCTATTATCTCTGAAATCAATAAAAATATATATATTTTAAAAAGGAGTAAATTCTTAAACAAATACTCTTATTAATCAAATAAAATCTTACCTTTACTCCTGAAACAATTACTCCATCTGCTGATTTAACCATGTTTTTAAAGAAATCTTCAAGTTTCTCTTTTTTATTTTTTCCTCGCACACTCAACTGAAAGGAAGGTAAGTAGAAGTTAGCATTTAAAAAAATTACAAATGGAAATTAATACCTTTTTTACATTTTGATGTCAACAGGGCAATTTCAAAAGGATCCCAGTTTTTAAACTTAATAAAGTAGTAATTTCATCATATATATTAACGATTTTCAAACTTCAGGGAATTAAAGAAAAGTTTGGCCTCACCTCAAAGATTCAGATTCAGCTGATCTACAAAAAGACCTAGATATCTCAGTGTATATTTAATAATTCTGTTCTAAGTAGACCTCTCATCATATCCTATCTAGCACTACTATATAATGTAAAGATAACTAAAATGTTAACTCAGAAGTTCCTTTAAACATAAAATTTATTGGTGTACAATATACCATCATACACTTCTGTAAGAGGTCTAAAAATATATTCTGCACATTCTTCAGTCTAAATTCATTCAAACATCATCTACTGTCCTGTTTTTGGTGTCAGCAACTTCTAGTTCAAGGGACACAAAAGATGACTTAGAGTGGCATGAATGGTTATCTAAGGCAAAACTGAGAAGCAGCTAATAACTCTGACTTTACCACTTGCGACATTAGGGTGTCCCTTAAAGGAGGATCCTATCTAACTTCCTTATCTACTGGCATGGCTTCAATGCTCACCTTTATGTAAATAACTCACAAATCTCTATCACTACCCCTCAGCTTTTTCCTGATTCATAGATCCAACTGCCTATATCATATCTTTTTTAAAAAATATGTTTTTATTGATTTCAGAGAGAAAGGGAGAGGGAAAGAGAGATAGAAACATCAATGATGAGAGAGAATCATTGATTGGCTGCCTCCTGCACGCCCCCTACTGGAATCGAGCTCACAACCTGGGCATGTGCCGTGGACTGGAATCAAACCCAGGAACCTTCAGTCCATAGGCCGATGTTCATTCTATCTACTGAGCCAAACCAGCTAGGACCCTATGTATAGATCATATCTTTACATGGAGATTATGCTAATCTCATATCACACGAGCCTAAGACAGTACTCATTATATGCTCTCCACAATCTAACCTCCAAATTTTTCCTCTTCCTCTTCCCTATTCGTGGCTCTCCATCCAACCAGTCTCTCACACTCCTATATACTCCCTAAAACCCCATACCTCTCATTAAAATTCTTTGTAATCTACAATTTCTTTCTCTCACAGCTCAAATTCTGCCAGCAAATGTCTGATATCTGTTCTTTATATTAACTCTGTCCTAGTAAATGTCCTCATTATCTCTTGCCTAGACTATTACATCGGACTACTAGTTAACATCCTTCATCTCAATCCAATCCATTCTGCTGCTTTGGGATAACTTTCCAAAATCAAATTTTGAGCATCTTTTCTTTACTCAATAACTTTACAGTTTCACAATGTTCAGAGACTAAAGGCCAATCTCCTTAGTATGTTATTAAAGATTTTCAACAATCTGATTCAATTTATCTTTCCACCCATTAACTTACCTCCACCAAAACTTATGTTCCAAATAATTCTCAAAAGAATCTCTGAACTTTTAGGTTCCTCTGTACCCCTCCCATCAAAACTGCTATTCAGACTTAAACATCCAAATTAAAAGGCATCTCTCTTCATGTAACCCTTCCAAGTTAGAATTCACTGCTCTTTCTTTAGGCCCCACAACACACACTGATTTTTTTAAACTGCATTTTTTTGATATTGATTAGTTCATTAATTTACTCATTTAACAATCCACTACAACTATAGTTAAGAGGTGGTCTCTGTCCTTAAAATAATTTATGGTGTAGCAGAGGATACAAGGAAGTAAACATATGATTAAGCATACAGTATAAGGAGTATAATATTAGAGGTATCCATAGTGCACTAGGAGAGCATCCAAGGAACTTAAAACAGACTCAGGTAATGAGAAAGAAAAGACCAGCTGAAGGCTGAATGACCAGGCGGAGGCAGCTTCAATAACCCAGATGAGGTTGTTGAAAGAAGTGGACAAATTCCTAATATAGTAAAGGAGTAAAACAGATGGGATTTGGTGACTTCTAATAGGAAGAGGGAGTAGGAGGAGTCATGGATAATTTGCAGGCTTTTAAAATTATTTTAAAATTTTTATTGATTTTTAGAGAGAGAAAGTGAAACATGGATTGGCTGCCTCCTGCACTCCCTACTAGAGATTGAAGCATGTGGTCTGACTGGGAATCAAACCAGCAACCTTTCAGTGCACAGGATGCCGCCAAGCCAACTGAAACACACCAGTCAGGGTGTAAGTTTCAGGTTTTAAGGAACTGGGAGGTCAAGGTACCTTCCTTGAAATAGAGAATGTAAGAGGAGGCATAGAAGTTTAAGGAAAAATTCAACTAAGGGTAAAATGCCAAGAGACCATCTAAATGGAGCTTTTCAGAAGGCTGTTTAATAAATATAGCAGGGACTCAGGAGTGATACAGATTTATAAGTTAACAGCATAGTAGAGAATCTGAAGCCATAAGAGTAGATTAGATCACTCAGGAATAATTTATGGAATCAGAAATCTAGAAGAACTTATAGACTACTTGAGAACTCAATGAGGAACCTTGGAAGCATCAGATTTAAATGAATGGGTATATGGAGAAAAAAGATTGTGAAGGATACTGGGAAGTAGCCACAGAGTTAAGAGGAAACTTAGAAGAGATTCCAAAGATCCAGAAGTACATGGGATCCAGCATAGCTAGAAAGGTATCTTAGTCAAAATAGAAAAGCACAATGTAATACACCATATTAATAGAATTAAAGGACAAAAACTACACAAGCATCTCAACAGATTTTTTTTTGTGATAAAAACACTCACAAACTAGGAAAAGAAGGGAGTTTCTTCAACTTGCTAAAGGACATTTATGAAAAACCCACAGCTAACATTATTTAATAGTGAATGCTTTCCTCCTAAGATAGAGACAAAACAAGGGTATCTACTCTTGCCATTTCTATTTAACATTGTACTATAGGGTTTAGCCAGGGTAGTTAGACAAGCAAAAGAAATAAAAGGCATCTCCAGATTGGAGAGGAAGATGTAAAAAAAAAAAAAAAAAGTTAATAAATGAGTGTGGCTGCCAGGGTGGGTGAGGATTGTGGGAGATATAGGAAGTTCAGGGACTTGATTTCTGATTAGCTTCCATTCCCAATGAACAAGGTGAGAATCTGATCAAGAGGAACTGCTTTGAACTGAACTAAGCTTTCATGGAAAATGGGAAAGAACTGTCTAAATTCATAACCTTATTATAAACTAGAGGCCCGGTGCACAAAAATTTGTGCACTGGGGGGGGGGGTGTGGTGGCGTCCCTCAGCCCGGCCTGTGCCCTCTTGCAGTCTGGGACCCCTCGGGGGATGACCACCTGCTGGCTTAGGCCTGCTCCCCAGGGGACTGAGCCTAAGCTGGCAATCAGACATCCCTCTGGCAGCCTGGCAGCCCTCGGGGGATGGCCACTTTCTAGCAGGGAGCAGGCCTAAACTGCAGTCGGACATCCTTAGCGCTGCTGAGGAGGCAGGAGAGGCTCCCACCACCACCGCTGTACTGGCAGCCATCAGCCTGGCTTGTGGCTGAGCAGAGCTCCTCCCATGTGAGAGCGCCCTGACCACCAGAGGGCAGCTCCTGCATTGAGCGTCTGTCCTCTGGTGGTCAGTGTGTGTCATAGTGACCAGTCATTCCCAGTCTTTCTGCTGTTAGGGTCAGTTTGCATATTACCCTTTTACTATATAGGATAGAGGCCTGGTGCACGGGTGGGGGCCGGCTGGTTTGCCCTGAAGGGTGTCCTGGATCAGGGTGGGGGTCCCGCTTGGGTGCCTGGCCAGCCTGGATGAGGGGTTGATGGCTGTTTTCAGGCTGGCCATACCCCCTTTAGGGTGGGGGTCCCCAGTGGGATGCCTGGCCAGTCTGGGTGAGGGGCTGAGGGCCGTTTTCAGGCTGGCAGGCGACTGAAGCTCCCAGCCTCTCCGTTTTTTCTTTTCTTTTTTTTATTCTGGGATTTATTTACCTTCTATGGCTGTCACTGGAGCTGAGAGCCGGCTCCAGCTCTGAGGCTGTTGCTGGCTGAAAGCAGGTATCTGGGGTTTGTTTAGCTTGTATAATTGAAACTTTGTTGCTTTTGGAGCTGTTGCTTTCGGAGCTTAGAGAAGGCCGCAGCAGGTGGGGAACCTTGGCTTCCTCCATCACTGGAGCAAGCAAGCCCCCTGCTCACTTCAGCTGCGTGGCTGCCAGCCGCCATCTTTGTTGGCAGTTAATTTGCATATCTCGCTGATTAGCCAATGCGAAGTGTAGCGGAGGTAAGGTTAATTATCCTTGTTGTCTTCTGTATTGCCCTGGCAGGTGTGGCTCATTGGTCAGAGTGTCAGCCTGTCAACTTGAAGGGTAAGGGTTTAATTCCTGGTGAAGGGAATGAACCTGGGTTGTAGGTTCAATTCCCAGCCCTGGTTGGGGCACATGCGGGAAGCAACCAATCGATGTGACTCTCTCACATCGATGTCTCCTCTCCCTCCCCCACTTTCTCCCTACTTTCTACTCTCTTAAAAAAAAAATCAATGGAAAAATATTCTTGGGCGAGAATTAACAAAGAACAACTATAATGGGAATAGGGAAAAAGAGAGCTAGAGGACAGAAGGCTATGTTTGGAATCCACAATACTAGTAACCAGGGTTTAAGAACTCAGAAGGCAAACTCCTGGATGTGATCACTGATGAATTATCAAGAATTTAATGGAGGTTGGGGGTTAAATAGGTTAAATACTTAATCTACTGTTAAGTAGACTCAAACTATCTTTATTTGAAACAGAAGGCAAAGTCACATAAGTAAAGCAATACCAAATGCAATCATTCCTCACAGCAATTACTATTTCTCATACAACTAAATGCTGAAACAAGCTTTTCTAGGCCTCACAGATGCTCTGTGGTCTTTTTTAGACTTCAAGATACCCTAGCTCTACTTCAAGCTTATCAGTACCATGGCCCTCTGAAACATAGATAACAGAACAGCGCATACCGATTTCTTTT